CGTGATGAAAGTAATTACTGAATATTCGTTGCTCACCTAAGTAAACTAGTACTACACTATTACTAGTAAAAAGTAATACCTGCGGTAGTAGTTGTATTAGTACCAGTACTCTAACTGGTTTTAGTAGTAATATTTAATTGTCTAAAACTAAAGCCCAAATTAAATAAAGGATTAAAATGTAAATATTATACGTCCGTTATAGTTTGAATTGTTAAAAATTGTTTATCAGGAAAAGCTAGAGTAGAGGGTTAACCCATTTTCTCAGTTAGTAGAGCACTCGTCTGGTGTGCGAGAGTTCCCTGATTCAAATCCGAACCAAGGAATTCATAAAATTGAAGTTGCCACATGTGGCATGTCTATGAGTGAAGGAGTAACTAGTAAGTCAAGTAATTCTACTTGTCCCTAGCCTAGACTACCACTGTAATCTTAAAATATGGGTAAATATAATTATTAATGATCCTAACCCTTTGCAAGGTTAGGATAATGACAAAATAACAAACTTGTCTTCTAACATGGATAAAGTCTTTGTATATATATTTAAAGAGATCAGGTGATATATTTTGGCATGAATTTATATTCTTATTTACTCTTTACTTAAAATTTTGTACAGTAGCCTAATTTTTTTTTCAACTTAGATCCCATAAATTCATTCATAGTATCTTCTATCACTTGTTAAAGTGTGAACTTTTCAATTAGGTTGTAAGATAAGTGCCCTGCTTTTCAAACCTCCTCATTTGCAGTACATAGTGTCACATAATGGTATATTGTTACATTTGGGGGGGGGGGGGGGGGATTGTGAAGAAGCACTTGTTCTCTTAATCATTTAATACAGTATAAACACACTGCTTTGCCATTCTTGTAGTGCTAAGACCAATTCTAGAAACATATATAAGTGCCACATCTGCAAGATAATCTCTGCATTCTGATAATTTCCCTCATTTTATATTTGAGCTGTAATGAAAAGTATTGCAAGTGAAACCTTGGCAGGAATTAAAGTAGATTTGAACTATTGGCTGTTTGCAATGAGGAGAAATATGGTCAAGAGTTGTACATACTGGGAGACTCTCTCATCAAATATCCTGATGAAGATATTTGTAGTGGAGACTATAATAAGACTAAAACTAGAACTTGAGCATACTGAAAGTTTAATTAATGGTACCAAGGAGCATTATATTTTTGTAGTGAATGATGTTGGAAGTTGTAAATCATATGAGGAACTTAAAACTATAAAGAACTCCTTTGAAAATAGATATAGACATGTAGCCCTTTAAAAAGTGTTCCCTTGGGCTAGATGCAGGAATGAGTTACTTCTGATACAGTACTTCCCTCTCCTCGCTAGATTAGCTGTTCTCGTTTATTGCTGCCCTCTATATAGGAACTTTTTTTATGATGCATGCCATAAGCCTTCTGTACCTCCTGTTGGAATCAAAAGATTTTAACGTGTGTCTCATGCAAATCATCATGCATCACCTATCCATCAATAGAAGCATAGTACACTCACATGTTGCATGTGACACCCTCTATGTACCTCTACCAAACTATCACTTCTTGTATGGCAGCACTTGCACTTGGACATCTTTCTTTTTTCATTTGGTTTTGTGTTTGAGATCATACTTTCTCGAAGTGGTTTAATTTAATTTAAAATACTCTTTTTTTTTTTCACATTATTTCAATT